GTTCAGGCTGAACCGTTCAGCACAGCACAGCGTCAGTCACCGGGTGGGGAAGAGAGTCCGGGAGGGGACACTTTCCCCTCGAGTGAAATAGAAAAAGGCAGAATCGCTGAAAGTCTGAATCCTTCGAAGTTTATATTAATGATATGAATGATTTAGTTGTTCATGGTGGAAAATTGCATGGACTCTGTTCACCGAGGAACATTCAAAGGTAGCAGTAATTTGAGTCGTCGTGAGCTATGAAAAATTAAAAAGGCGTCTTTCTTGAGACTTCGCGGCTTTAGATTCTAAATCTTAGCTTAGAGGAGCTCATAGGCTTATTTAAATTTTAAACACGATGCATTCAAAGCAGCGAGTTTTACTTAACCGTGAAATAAGAAGAAGAAAGCGCCTTCAAACAAGCTGTTTATGCAACCTGAACGATAAGAGGTATTGGAGACAAACTCATAAGTCTCACGCGATGCGACGCTCACGATGAAGAGTTCCTTACCTATTTTTAAAGCTCTAGACTATTTGTTCAAAAATATAACGGAGAGTAATTTTAACAACCTCGCGTAAAATTCAACAGTTTAAGTTCGGCAATAGACGTTGCGAAGATATTACAATCATGTGCCTTAATGAAAGATTCAAAATGTTAAAGACATTTTTTTTCAGGTTTTGAAAATTTTAAAGTAGGTTCTTACAAAATACATTGAATCACATAAACCGTGGGTCCGGCTCGGTTTAGTACAGAGCGAGACAAGTCTATCGGAGCCCCGTGATGGGCGGGCGGGGAAGGGGAGAGAGCGTGTGTCCCAAGCACTCGAGGAGACTGCAGAGAGGCAATGGAGAATTCGTTAGATACTGCGCTCGGTTTTTCACGAATATCTCGTATAGAGTCAATTTTCAGACTCCTAAGAAGAAAAGTTTTAGAACATATACTTTGACAACCGAACAGCAATGTTTCATTTTTCCGAACTAATTATTAACCGAGAAAAAAAGCCTCACAATCCGACAAAAATTCACTGGAGCCGCTACCGCGCATGCGCAGATAGGCGCAACTGGGACACACGAACTCATCGATGCGGGTCGGTGCCAACACTTATCGGCATGCGAATTTTTTAAAGTTGTCTCGCCTTCCGTAACACAAGATGCACGGTCAACGTGATTCAATGTTTTTGGTTTTTACCTACCTACCTACTTTACATTTTGACAAAATTATACAATTTCTTTCTTTTGGATTTTACATTTTTCACAATAGCGATTCATTTTAATCCCTTGCAAGAGTCTACTTTCGAAGTTATAGGTAGGTACTATTAAATTTCACTCGAGATTCGTTGAAATTCTCTTTTGTATGTAGCAATGTCAAAGGTCTCCATAAACCTCCCTATAGATCACAATACAAACCATACGGGACTTCCTAGGAAAATGAGCTGTTTCAGGAATGGTACCTATGGACTGAACGCGGTCCTCAAGTTTTGCACTGGGTCATTGAACCAAGTTGTTTCAAAAAAGAAAAGAAAAAAAAGAGAGAAAAAAAAAAAAAAAAAAAAAAAAAAAAAAAATCTTGTGGACATAGGGTAAAATAACGTAAACCAAGATTGCAATAAATTTGCAAATGGCTCAAGGCGCCTTCAGTTGGTTGCGGCGATAAAAGACACTCAGCTTACACATGCTACGACGACGCGACGCTGCTTGAAAACATCTCCATGCAACTGTTCGTCTTCGAAAGATGTCCGTATTGCATAAGTAAAAATATGAAGGCACAGAAGCGGATTGAGATGAACCAGTCGGATTTGAGAGGAATTTTAGAGTTGCCTTCCAGACTTCCAGAGTGAGGGTAGCTTATTGGAATCATTAAGGTGTTTCCTTATTTTAAAAGTCATTTTGGCTCATAGACATTGATTAAATATATTAAAATCCAAGATACCTTGAAAAACCAATTTTATTTTTCATCCGAAAGATGGTAGATTCAACTTTCAGGTGCTTTACAGCCGATGAATCTTACCTTTTACTACAATAGAGGCATCTTAAAGGAAAGGGAGCAAAGTCTATTTTGCTGATGAGCGCCACAACACTATTATTCTTACGCAATCCGGGGCTCATCAGAAAAATGGGCTTAGCTCCCTTAGCATCATGATTCCTCTATTTAACTCCCATTTTGTGATGAATAACTAATTAATATTTTAGTCTTCTTTTAGAAACAACGCATGTACTAATTGATGTTCCCATGCAGACAAACGCTTTTCCTTTTTCTTCTTGATCACCTACATTCCTCTCCTTGCAATGCAACTTATTTTTCCTCTTTATCTTCTTATCCACTTTGCTGTCCTTCTAGCTCTGATTCCCTTTTTTGCGTTCTTTCTTCTTTCTTCCACTTCCTCTTCCTCTTCCTATCTCTCCTATTTTTCTTTCCTCTTTCTCTTCTCTATATTCCTTCCTCTTTTTCTCTCTTTTCCTTTTTACTTCCTCTGCTTTTTTCTCTTCTTTTGTTCTTAATCCTCCTCTTCTGTTTTTTTTTTTTTTTTTTTTTTTTTTTTTTTTTTTTTTTTTTTTTTTTTTTTTTTTTTGCCGCGTATACGTGGTATACCGCCTTTGCGATCGTTTCGAACCCCCACTCGATACAATTTATCGAGTGTCTGGGTTGCTCACCTACCTACCGGAAAGTGACTGGCGGGCTCGTCCTGAATCTTTGAGAGCTTGTAAAAAAGTTACTAATGCTTCAATCTTTTAGGTTGATGGGTTTTCTGTTTTTTGGTAATTTTCTTACTGTAAATCCTAAAGATGAAGGGGCTTCGTTTTTTAGTTTCTTTTTAATACTTATAAATCCGTGCCCCGTTGATTTAAAATATCGATGGTGAAAGTGCAGAAGTGCGGATCTCAATTTTTGACAGTTTTGAGTTAACTGCATAAACAAGTTGTTGAAGATGTCGTCTATCTACCAGCAAGAGATTATAATCGAAAAAAATCGGGAAGACACCTTAAACAGTAGAGCTTTTTTCGCGTATCTCGGGCTTAAGTGCAGAAATGCGTATCTCGTTCTGGCCCCTTCATTTGATCCGGCGCGCATTATGCACAACGCGCGCTCCTCAGCGTTTCCCGCCAACAGCGCATACCTACATCAGTTCATCAGCTGTTCTGAGTTTTTATTTATTTTCTGAAATTCGCTGTTTTTGAAAAGTTGCTAAATGCTTATCACTCGAAGGCTCTTCAGTATCATTTCTTCATAGGTACTTACCTATTACTGGCGGCGGGAGGCTTCTAGGCCAATGCAATCATGAACTGACGGTTCATTGCAACGGTCAGTTGTATTAGAGCCAATCGAGTCAAACAACGCTTCATCTATCGTACTGGATCAAGTAAAGCTTCTAAACAAGTTATAAGATGAATAGGTAAACTCTATTTTTGATTTTAATGATCAAGAGCAGGTTCAAAACGCTAATCCAGAAATGCGTCTCTCGTGATCAAATGCCATTTTCCAATCAAACAATGCTTGATCCAGGCGTATGAGATCAATCTAAAGCTTCTGATAAGCAATTGAAAAGGCCTGCATAGACGATCAAATTCCCGAACCAATTCCGATCAAAGTAGCATCAAAGTGTCGGGAGTCATCAGTCTTAAACTCATTAATTTGCTTCATTTTAAAATGAAAACTTGGCAGAAATGTTTCCTGTGGCAGGAGATGATGAATGGTGGCACTCCGTTCTGGGCTTACTTTGAACAAAAAAGTGCGGCCCGTCAAAATTTGATGGTAGATGGTGACCACCAGTTATCAGCCTATCTACTTTGATCGGAATTGGTTCGGAATTTGATCGTCTATGCAGGGCTTAAGCGTGAGACTCTTTTTCAAAACTTTAAATGATCAAAATCCGCCAACAACAGGTTTAAACCACTAGTTGCAAACAGGGCCGGATTTACCTACTTGCCGCCCATGGGCCGCCTGTATTTTGCCGCCCTTTCTCATCGTTTTGAAACATAGATACAAACCATCATATGAACGTGCCGGAGGACCCCTGAGGGGTGCATAAGACGCTTTTACTCGTGTTGGGCACATTTTTTGTGAAAGCCCTTTCAACACTAGCAAAAGTTAACGGAACTTCGTGCGAAAATTGAGTTCCGTAAACCTATCTCTGTGAGGACGAGGCCTGTCATTTACAACAAAAGAACGAAACAATGATGAAAGAATAAACATGAATGTGGTTTAATGCTTTTAATTTGAATTTAATTTCAATGCGTGAAGTATCCCTACAGTCTTGTAAGCGCTATGCGTTTCACGCCGACCGCTGCGCGCTGCTGACCGCACTACATTTAATGCAATGCGTGAAGTATTCATGGAGTCTTGTAGGCGCTAATATGTGTTTAATACTGACCGGCGCGCCGAGGGCTTCTCCTTTCCATCTCAAGTCCTCGTCCTTCATCATCGCTCTCTGCGCCGCGCCGCTTCAGGCCAAATTTCGTAATTGGTTTCTCTCTCAACTAGACTACCTAATAAAAGGCGCTTTCTCTTGTATCACCGAAAGATGAACAATTATAAATTAATATACTTTAACTCTCAGGAAATGAGAGATTTTTTCGCCTTCTCTCGTTTGTAATTTTTTTTCTGAATCAGATATTTTTCTTGACACCTACGTTTGAAAAAATTACAACACGTGGCCACCCCCTCAATCCGGCCTTGATTGCAAAAATACGTAACTCGTGATGGAGTGTCAATTCTTAGTGCCGAAAACGCGAATCTCTGCATTTCTGCCATATTTTCTGACAGTTCGAGAAAATATTCAAAATGCTGACGGAGTGTGAAAAATCATCTTTTTCTTGCTATACTCAAGAAATATTACCCTTCTACTGACAATAAGGAGGAATGTAGTCAGTTTTTTTTTTCTCTCCTTAAAATTGAGCTCCTGTTGATTTTAATTTAGCTTATTTACTGTTAATTCTTGAGTTATTGTTTACTAATCTGTTCCCAAAATAATACAAACCAACTACTTGTAATGAAAGAAGAGGAACAAAGGAATTCATGGAACTTATTTAACGATTTATCACATTGCATTTAATGTTCCATACATAGTGAAATTACAACAGACAATGATTGTAATGAACTATTTGTACACATGCATAGGTATTTAAAACAATTCATAAATAAATTCGAGGAGTAGACCTTAGGAATAATCATATCACAATAAATTGTATCGAAAAATAATTCAAGATTGAACAAAATTATTTGAGAAAATAGAAAAACAAAGAAGGATTCAGTAAATCTGAGAGCATAGTGAAAGGAGTTAACTCATGTTCTAACAATCATTTGTTAAAAATGTCTGTTATTTCCTTCTAATAGGGAACAGAGGCTAGAAAAAAGAACATTCAGTTTTAATAGAGGAGCACAAGATAAAACTAACTGATTCATAAAGAAAAATAACTAATGGATGGTGAAATTGCAGAATTGTGCCTCCTGTTTGGGATGTTTCACAAACTTTGCTTCCATTCTATGTTATCAAAGGAGAGCAAAACAAAGCTATTGCTTGGCATCTTCAAAGATTATTCTTCACAAAGAGAGGAAAAATTAGGTTAGGTTTCAAGAAAGGACGTTCAGTATTATTCCATTAAAAAAGTAAGTATGAAAGGAAGCACACGAGTTCCTGGAATTTCACCGTTGTAATGCTCTCTAGAGTAAGAATGAATGAGATGATAAGAACTCCGATTGGTTGAAAATATATCTACTTAAAATTTGTACTTGATTACTGCAGTGTCAATTATAGAGAAAAGTATAGAAGAAATGGGTATAAATTAGAAAAGGGTAAAAATGAGTATGACTTGGTAAAATTCTTGGTACTCTTTCCTGTATACTTATGGGAGAGGGAAGAGAGCTGTTTTGTCCGAAGAATTCAAGATAACTCTAAATTTGAAATACCAATTAAACATTGGCCTCATTGATCGGCCAACAAAATTAGCTATTTTTCGTATAACTTGATGAGGAAAACATTATAAAAAGGATGAAACTTAGATGCAAGTTACAATCTAATCAAGGTAGAGCTGCATCATGTGCTGATATTAGGCATTTTTTTTTTTTTAAAAAGAAGAAGAAAAAAAAAGGTGCGTTTTCTTACCCTGGGACTTCTTAAACGGAGAGAAGAGAATAGCAGTAGCTCAGATACTCAGTGATTCGAATTTTTCAAAGGATGCGAAAGGGGCACGATGAAAAGTTATCACGAGGCATTCCTGAGTTTTAAATGGATAGAACTAAGCAATAGTGACGCATTTTAATCTAGCATTTTTAAAATCAAAGTATCTATTTAGTGGATGGGTACACTTTGCTTGAATTTAGTAATATGGAAGGTGAGTTTGATGTAATTCTGTGTTGAGGCCCTTCATCAAATTGAAGACAAACAGCAACTGTCGAGACAGTGGCCTTGGCATATATTTTTTCAGAGTTTTTACAAGCAATCCTTTCCTTTCTCTGATGGTCCTGCTGATTGCCTTCTTCCAATTTTGGGAGCGTTCTTATCAAAACAGAGGCAGTCCGACACTGCTGCACATAGGTATTTGTCAAAACTCTGCGAGCATCTGTTACTTAACTCCAGCCAGATCTTGCCAAGCACTTAATATTTTCCATTAAAATTAAAAGGATACCGTACCATTAATATCTTCATTAGCGGTAAAAGGCATTAAAGAAAATCATTGATTGTTGTGAGAAATAAGTGTATCTCATTTGATTGATTTGTCCTATTAGTATGCTTCTGCTTTGCTAAGGAGCTTTGCAAGGACCTTGACAATGATATTCGATCTTTGACTTTTCCAAGAAATGCTAATCTATTTCCATTTGAGCTCAAAGAGAGAACATGTATGTGAAATATCAAATTTTTACTTGTTATCTGATCCCTGATCATACTGTCTTAAAACAATACACATTATGCGAAAAACACAAAGGAAGAGTTTTGTAGTTTTCAATCAAGAATAAATTAAATATGAACACAGGTTAGCAGTTAGGGGGAAAAAAGCATGAGGTTTAAAAGTTGCTTTACCAAAAGGTACAGTTGAGGTTATCATTAAATGCTGATCAAAATTAACAAATCTGGAGGAAGATCATTTTAATAATTGTGAGTACTTACTTCCATTGCAAAAACAGCTTGGAAAATTTGAACTTCAATATTACTAGAGGGACTTAGTCAGGTCATGGCATAGAAAACATTTATAAGAAAAATTTTATCAGCTTAGAGAAGGGAAGCAATGCTAGAAAATCTCTTTTTCAAAATTGCAAACACTGGTGTAAACAGAAAAACTAAACAAAACTCCCGATAATTCAGTTAAGGAAAAATACTGTTTATCAATGAGAAATCCTTGAGGTTTTAGAAGCAACAGAGATGGATTTCTGGCACAGATTACCCAGTATTTCCCTAGGAAATCCCATTTAGAGAGATACTATGGGAGATCATGGCTACCAAATGCACCATCATTAATGTTAAAGAAACAACTAATATGTTATGGTTATGCACAAAGAGTGGCAGAGGACAGGTTGCCGAGAAGTGTCTTAGATTTAGCTCCACTGGTGAACAGGGTCTAAAGATGGTATTTAATCCAAAATGCTACGTGCAAAATTTTCGAAGAGTTATGGTTTAATGTAGAACAATGGCAGTAAGGGATCGTAGAGCACCAGGAAGTACTATAAAGTGAAAAATACATGAGTATCTTTAGAAAATACAACACTCAACTGCATGCAAATATTAGTTGATTACAGTGCATTGCATGTTTAAGAGGATGATTCTTTCTTCAAGAAAACACGTTTCGCTATCTTAGTTGAAAAAATGCCAACAATATCAAAATAACAGGAAACTTCAACCAGAATAACTACCCGACAGTCGAAAATTGGCCTGCCCTTGTCAATTACACGGCCACGCCCACTTGCCAAATTGATTTGGATATTCCAGAGTCTCGATGACAGCCATTCTGAATGATTAGAAGTTTAGTGTGCTGGGAAAATAAACAAATTGAATTGAATAAAGCCAGTCAGTTGAAAGTTTATAAAACTGAACCGATTGTATCCTGAACCTTTGACTGCAGGATAAACCAACAAGCTGGGGACATAGCGCTAAGGTTATGATTTAAAATTACATGTATAAAATCACTAAATTTTCAAAACTCATTAATTCCTTTATCTTACTTTTAATTTATAAAAATTGTGTGACTTGATGTATGTAATTATCACAATATTCCTTGTATATAAATCAATCTTCTTTAACATTATGATTTAAAATGTAAAAAATTGGCTAGAACTTAGACTTGAATCTGTTCTCTTAGACATTTTGATCTATTTCATTAAATTTTACAGGTGCTCCATTAATTTTTGTGATTTGCTGGCACACATTCACTTGTAGGTTTTTTTGCCTAAAATAACATTGACAAACCCAGAGTAAGAAAGATCAATACAATAAGATAATTTTGGCCAAATTTCAGGGTTGAAGAAGTTTCATCAATTCTTTTCAATTTCATACTATCATGATTGCTGCCAGTTACACCTGTACTACTGCGCAAAGACAAAACACTTTATGAACCATCAGACGTTCCCAAACTTCCTTTGACAGATCAAACATTTTTTAGAGAAATTGGGAGCATTTTCCTTTCAATTTTTTTCGAAAATTTCGTTCGTAACTTGATCCTAGGTCTCTAAAAATTTCAATGAAAAATACTCATAACTTTCCTCAAAAATAAATATTTTCTGAGAGTAAATTCGGCAACCTACGAAGGTTCATGCAGCGTTTTTTCTCAGCACTGACTAAGTATATTACCTTCCTGATTCTGAATTTTAATTGAGGCCTGTTGAATCACCGTCACCATTACCGTAGAAATGCAGTTTTGAGCATCTTTTCGGCATGTACTTAATAGAGTCGAGGCTTAAGTGGTTTTTTGATTTTCCTTGTTTCATACATTTCCTACCTTATCATCTCTTTTGAGTCTTTCAAGACATCTTCAGTCTGTTATGTTTGATATTTGTCATTGAAGTTTTTGTCATTAAACTATGTGTGTTTCTGTAAGTCAGTTGCATTATTTCTTGTGGTATTATCCCACTAAAGCTCACATTCTTCGCATGAGATTGGAAGTTGGAGATGACCTCATCTTTTTGGAATAAAACATGGAGAAACATGGCCCAATTGCTCTTTTCAATTTTGTATACTTTGGTGCATTTAAACTTCATTTTGCAATAAGCAACTATTATTAATGGTTCATCCATAGAAGCACCTACCTGCATAGGAAAACTACTAGAACACACACTGTTTTTTAAATGAGCTAGATACAGTAGTTCCTTATTGCAAAATGCAGTCCGCTACATCATTTTGCAGCTCTAAAAGGAGGCTGAAAAAAACCTTCATAACATGAATGTGCAAGATTCCAAAAAAGTTCTTGCCAGAGTGCTCATAAAGGCATAGGTACTTATTACAATTCCGTTTAAATTCTAAAACTATGTAACTTCTATGCAGATCAAAGAAATACAACAAGATGATCTTGGTCTTTGCTGATAAAAGCTTGAATTTAAGATTTTTGGTGTTATTTAATGAGATAAAAAAAAGTTGAGAGCTTTGCTGATATTATTTTACATGTGTCTTTCTTTGACACACTTTTAGTATGAAAATTGCATCAAAGGAAACTTTAACAGACTTTAAAAAATTAAAAACATTAAAATTTGGATTTTGCGGGAGATAAAAATACTTATACAACATCAAAGGTTGAAAAGTAAGAATTTGATTGTTGAAAAAGTGATAAATTTGGTTCCTTCATATCAATAAAACAATGGGTTCAACAGAGGCGTTGGAAATTGCAAATCTCAGGATAAAATGTTCCATCTCAATGTAAAATGAGAAAAACAAAAATCTTACCTTGTACAATTTTCCTAAGACTGAGGAAATATTTTTCACTAAGCAAATTCTGAATGCCATGAATCTCCTTGTCAGCTTGAATGGTACTTAATTCTCGCTTTCTCGTAGGCATCGATGATTGCTTGCCTATGAAAATAAAGAAAATATTCTTAATGAATAATAAAGGAGTTCCAAGTTTGGAAATTATGTTAATATGTATTGCAAACAGGTATGAATTATTTAAGTACAAATGATGATATTGCTTTGACTGGTATGTTTTAACATAATGGACCAGTAGATAAAGTATGGCTTTAAGCATTCTGATACCTCTTAATGTTTTATAACCAAAATTTTACACAAAACACAGTTCACGCGCCCAAAATGACTGAAACTAGCTCCTAAACAAGCTATTTAACTACATATTGCAGAGTATCTGTCATACTTCATTTTTTCTTTGGAAAATTTTTCAACATAATTTCTTGGAAATTTATTTGATTTTTCCTCTCTGTTAGTAGAATATTCTGTATTTCCAAGCTTTGGCTTGTTTCTCTTCTGCAAAATAGTACAGGAGCAGAAATTTTAAGAATCCGCAATGGAGATATGTATTGTCGCACTTTGCGTCTATTTCACCTTGCTTTCTTGTCAAACATAGGTAATGGTTTAAGTGCAATTCGCAGGTACTTACATCAACTCGCTTTTTGAACATTTATGAAGATTAAAACTAAAAAAATCCTCCAGGAAAAATTGAGCCCTAGCTCAGCATGATTCCCCCCTTTTTTTTTACCTGAAAGTTTTTTGATGCAAAACGAAAGCTGAAACATGGCCAGCATTCACATAAACAATTTTAGCTTCCGGCCAGATATCTTTCAGGTCCATTACACCATCTCGAGGTACATAGCCGTCATCAATAGCACATACTGCTGTTATTAAAGATGTATCTACAGGAGTGCTGAACTGAGTCAGATGAGTGAATTCATCCATAATCCCGCGCATGAACTGCAGGGCTTCTTTTTGTTCCTCGCTCATTCCTATTATGGACAAAATTGTTCGAATTGAGTCCCAATACTTCCATCTATTGATCAAGAATAAATTTTAATCCCTGAGAAGATAGCTTTTTCTTATTTCTTTTTAGAAACTGTCTAGAGTGCAAAAATTAAGTCAAGTCAAAAGTACAGTAAAAAAAGTCATCAATTGATATTGATCTGTGAATTTTTTTCAGCCATACTTTTTTTTCTTTATTTTCGTCCTAAATAAGTAACTGTAAAAATCAATGGTGAACTCTTGAGACATTAATCTACTTTTTGTGGATAAATTCTTCTAAAAATAACCCACTTGAAACTCATGAATAATCACCTATGAAAGTGGTGTCAATGGACGAGACCATTTACTGAAGATTTCCTTTAAGTCGACGTATTTTTGACAAAAACTTAATTCTGATCATAAATTTAATTTATGCATAAAAAATGTAGCACTACTTATAGATATTCGACACAGTGTCTTCAAACATGAGAAAACTTAGTTCTTAGTATACCAATGAATATTAGCGTCCAAGTTTAGGAGAGCATAATGTCATCCCGAACAAAAAAATGTATCTCGATTGTGCAGATCCAGTATTTCTTTTGACATTTCATTTGTTATGCAAGAAGTGTCTCATAAATTTTCCTTAAGTTTCTAGTGACTTATCTTTTGAGAAAAGACTCTGAACTTTTCAGACTAACTCATGCTATTTTTCTCTTATGAAAAATTAAAATGTTTATTTAAATACTGAAACAGCGCAGTCTACATACATTTTGTTCAAGGGATGAAAATATTTAATACATTTTTTGCTGATACTCAGGCGCATGCAATCAGGTAACTATAAAACTAAGTATAATTATCAACTAATTTCATAAAATTTTTGCAGAATTCTGACTGACAAATAGCAAATCTTTACCTTTTGCGCACAGTTTTATAACTTATCATGCGTCTCATTTTATTTGCTGAATTATAATTTTTGCTGATTAATTAGCCAAGTAAAATTAAAGGTAAGATACCTTTCCCTGATTTCCAATCAGATAACACTGCTAATTTATCAGTGACAGACTTGAGTACTTTCAAATACTCATCAGTATTCAAAATTTTCATGTCCTGCAGTTTGAGATATTGACTGAGCCCCGATGGTTTCACCTTTGAGGCCAACTCTGGCTTGCTCAGTGATAGACCAATACTTGCAGCTTTCAGGTCACTATCTTTGATCAGATTAGTGGTTACTTTGAAGTCACTGACAGGGTCTACGGTGCTCATAGGATGATCGCTATGTATTAAATTTTCATTGTACTGTTTCGCAAATATTTGACCAGCTATGAAATTGGGCTGTAAACAGAAGGAAAAATTATTATAAATACTTCTGGAATGCTACCATGGATTACCACTTGTAAGTTAAGGAAAGTCATTTCAATTTAGTGAATGGGCTCATTAGGATCAACCAATATTTTTGCATTATTTGTTGAAGTTTGCGACAGGTTAATTAAAATCAATGTAAATTTTATGAAATTAATGTTACTTTTGCACAGCAAAAATAAACAACAGTGACCAAATACAGACATTATTTCATCATCTTTTAGGATCTGTCATTAGACAGATATCTTATGTTTTCAAGAGAGAGATAAAAAAAGAAGAGAAAAACGGCTGGAAAGGAGCCAATATAACTTACATCAATGCAAGACAACATTTTCTGTACTTCTATTCTTAGAGATTCATTTTCTTGATATTGAGTTTCCAGTAAATCCCAACAGATCGCATTACTGAGTACGCCCTGCAACCCAAAACGGTTATGAGGGTAAAAGATAAAATAAGATTAAGAAATGCATACCCCACAGAGGACAAAAGAAAGGGGAAAAAATTAACTGGCCGACATTTTTCAATGAATATGCATTGCAAGTTTTATGTTTCAACTGGACAATGAGTCCGAGATTCATTGCATAAGTTGAATAACAAGATAGGTAATGAAAAAGACCTGGGTCTGCACTATTCTGGGGGGACATTAAAATTATATATAAAAAATTAAGGTATTTTTTTCTATAGACTGAGTGGGTGCAGTTTGATGGTGTAAATTTCAAAAAATGTAACTTGACTGCAATGTTTCCAAATTTTTGCTCCTGTGGTTCTATTTTATTTTTCAAAAATACCATGATTGTTGAAGCCCAAAAGTTTCACAGAATCTTCTATAGAGGTTAAAGGATATTGGTGAAAATTCTGAGGGACAACATTCGTAAGTTTTCTTTGGAGAAAATAAAATTCAACAAGCAAACAGCATCATAACAGATAGCGCCACATGGTTTGGGACTGTCACCATGAAACGAAGTCATAAAGTCTAAAAAGGTAAGACACATATATTCCTTAGCACAGCAATATACACTCCAAATTTCTGAAGCCAGTGAAATCTTCTCGTGCAAATACTCCAATAGTCACAGACTGTCATCCTATGGACATGAAATTCTTCTAGTGTCTGTTCAATTTCATTCTATGGGTTTTTCCCCCATTTAAACCAAGATTTCATGCTAAAAAGCAGAAACTTGGATTCCTGAGTGCTAACAGCATTATCTCATGCTAGAATACCTACTTATAAATTGACAGTGAAATTACAGGAACGCGTATCTAATTTGAAATCTTGCGACGCGTTTGTTGTTGCACGCGTATCATTTTTGTCTTGTCTTCTAGCCGCAATTACCAGGGACCGGTAACATTGTTCTTAGCTTTTGTTTTCAAATTTTTTAATTATTTATTGGCGGTTGAAAATGACCAGGAGACTGGTCAAAACGTCCCGTAATTTTTAATTATTGTGTGTTTTTTAGCGTTGTCCCTCCCTTTTCCTGTCTATTGTTATTTTATGTTCTCAAGCTGCCATAGTGTATTTTTATCTATATCTAATTTGCTGTGGTTTGAAATCTCCAATCCCATTTTATTTTTTCAAGGGAGAAAAAACCAATGCTATCCATTTGAAAATTTTACAGAATATTTTTCACACAGAAAAGAAAAATCGGGGAAATTTTCAATAAATGATGTTAAGTATTTTCCCAATAAAAAAAGAAAGTAAGACAGGAAGTCTGCAATGGCGTCAACTGAGTTGCACTATCCTGCAGTTTTGCCATCGAAAAGTAAAGGGAAATGCAATAATACTACCTCAGTGAAAACACCAGATGCAGTTGACCAAGAAAGACATGGTACTAACACGATGGGTTTTGGCCATGTGGTTGCAGCTAAGGAAGCCATCTGCATGAGAAAAAACAAACAAATTTTTGATGATTAGATATTCAGGTTCATTACTAAGCTTTAGTGAAAAATGAGAAATCAGTGTTCGTGAAAAATTGCCTGTTAAGGTAATTGATCTCCTGTGTTTAATGATGTTTCAAAAGCTTTGACCTCCAAAAACATTCTAAAAACATTCTTTTACATTGTTCGTGTGAATTACGTAGCATCGCGTTCAAGATATTGGACTCCATGCTCATTGTTGAACTTTTCACATCTTTGCTTGAGCATAAAGTCCAATAGCGAGAGGACCCTCCTCAATTTCAATGTCCATTCATTCATCATCATAATAGGAAATTACATACTTTTCTTACCTAACTTAACCTTACCTAACGTAAACTGACCGAACCACTGCACAATTTTCTTTATTAATACATTTTTTTCATCATTACTTTACCAAACTTGTCTTGATAAATTTTTGGACTCCATGATTGTTTAATGTTAGCAAATATCTGAACCCCACGATTTTGGACCTATGCTCACTTTGATTTTTCGAGAAAACAATTCCTCATTAAAGTGAGCATGGAGTCCAAGATCTTGGATGCCAGGAGTAGCCAAGATTTGTAAGAGTTGAGCACGGAATCCAATGCCACGGACACAATGCATCAGCACCTTAATGAGTATGTACAAGTCAGTGCAGTCAACAACAGATTTAACAAGAGATTTTCCCATTCCTTCGTCCTTTTGGTGCCTCTCAGCCTGTGTTTTAGTTTTTGATCACAGGAAATTAGTTTAAAATGTGTTGAACTGACATTGATCTGAGTCAATGTATAGGGCACACAGTGTAATAATCACAGGATTTTTTTTCCGCCCCTCCTCTTAAAATTGTGTATGGTACACATCATTTATTTAATAGTATGAAAGAAAAAGAGGGCTCCATAGCGATGGCAAAAGTACAAAACCACAAATCTTCATTGCCATGTTTCAAAATTTCAACTCCTATTTTATTTCTTTGCCAAGAGCTTGCCAACTTGGGAGCTTGAAATTTATGCAGAATATATTCTGCTGACAGAGGGCAAAAAATGATGGTGGATTCTTTGTGGGCCAACCAAAATCCACACCAAGTAATTTTACACTTTTTTAGAGTAGGGCAGACGATTTGCCCCCTTAATTCCTGAATTTTCTTGCAATGCTAAACTGAGGACAGCTGATCTTCTATCACACTCTGAAAGAGCGTAAACTTAATCAATACAAGCTTGACAATGCGTTCTAGGCTCTAACAGTTCCATTAAAATTTTGAAATAATCGAAGGAGTAGCTCAAGTTTAGTTGGAACTCAAATCAATAAAATAATCAACATAATAACTTACATGACCTCCCATTGACAAGCCAGTAACACCTAAAGGTCCTAGGCCCATATTTTGGCACCAATGAAATAAAACTAATGACTCTAAAATTAAACAACCTCCCATCACAAAGATGTCAGAAACATTTCGAAGAATGGAACGTCTGTAAAATACAAAAAAAACAAACAAACAAATTAGCAAAATAAACAAGAAAAAGAAAAAACAATACGCACATATTGGTAAAAATTATACATTTTAAACAAGGAAACAGTTATTCTTTTAACTTTTGCTTTAATCATTTCAAAAAATAATTACTTAACATAGAGCATGGGAATGAGAGGCTACGATGCAGATTTTCTTAGATTATATAATATCCAAACTTCAACAAGATATCTGCAACATTGGGCTCCTTGTGCCAAAACCGATTAATTGACATCACCTACTTTTGATGAAAGTAAGCTGATGTCAGAGAATTGACAGCAAACTAATGGCAGCCACATACAAAATTTGGGTTGGAGACATTTTTAACTCTGATTTTGAATGTTTTCCAATTTCTCACCATTGTTTAGCCTGTTCAGGGGTCGATAATCTTTCAGAAAAGCATTCTTGGAAAGCTGATATTAAAAAATAAAAATAAAAAGTTATTATATTGCCGTGAGACTATGATTTTGTCGCCCGTCCAATTCGCAAAATCATACAAAATTGTTTTCAAAAAACAATAGAATTGAATCTTCGGTGGAAGAAAAAAAAAAGTCATCACTTTTCTTAGAGGGTGCTCAACCTCAAAAGCTGGGAATATTATCAACTCCTGGGCCTATTTTTCTCGTGAAGAAAAAAACAAAATCCAACTAACATATCATTTGATTCATGAATTTTGAGAAATTATAGCAATAAAAATACGTACAACTGTTCTTTTGGTTTCCTGAGACCATAAAAAGGATTTTCTATGATGATGGAACCAATATTGGCCTCTTTCAGTAGAGGCTTTGCTAAGATTGTTCTTCTCCTCCAATAATACTGAAAGAAAAAAAAGTGAAACAGCCGTCACGAAAAAATTTCTTCTGATAGCAAAGCTTCTATTTTTTTTTTGTAGTGACACAGTATGGAGATACTCCTAGAATTTTACTTTATCATTACTAGCTTCTGAGTTGCCAACAAAGGGCACTTGAAGGCAATGATGCGTGCAACATGTGTACCAAGACCTAACAACACAAGTCAGTCTTTTTAGAGGACAAGTTCTCACAATGATGTGCAGTAACTGACTGGAGTACTTAGATAGATCTTTAATTGTATGATGGTAACCCTTAAAAAAAAAAACTTTAAAAGATAAAATATGTAATGTAGAATATATACGAATTTGACACATTTACAGGACACTGCACTCTGTTCCCGACTGCAGAACATCTATTTGTAAGAAGCTGAAGGTAAGTATGAATCACTCAGACTTCTGCTAAATTTGTCTTTTTTAATACTTTATCTTCTACTTTTTGTAAGGAGAGAGGCAGAAAAAATGGAAAGACTTAATTTTTTCTACTTGGGTAATTTTTGAATGATTTTACAACTTTTTAAGAAACGATTTAATTCATATTCTGTTGCTATAAAAATGTAAATAATTTTACTCTAATAATGCTCCAAATTTTCAGACCATGTCTTGTTAGTTGCCAAACAAAACAAATATTAAAACATTATTGCACAGAGCTATTTAGGAGCCTGCTTCATGAAAAATACTTTCAAATTTTCAATGATAACAATTTTTTAGAATGAGCTTAGGATGATCTTTGAGTGAGAAGGACTTAGAAAACATTTAAACACTAATAACACAATCTTGCATGAAGTTGTTAAATACTGACTTCATTCGGATGAATATACACTTACATGATCTCCTGTGCCGGCCATATGGAGACAAACTGGTTTGAAGTCTGGTCGGTTCCATGTTTTAGGAAGAATCAGTTGAAAATGAGCCTTTTCAGATTCAGGTGGTACGATTCCAGGCAAATACTGGACCAAAGGAGAAATAAAGTATCCTTCAAGGACTTGGCAATCTGACCAACTTTCCTCCTGCAATGAAACATTTCAAACACAGGAAGTAAGTAAAAAAACTTGATTTCATGTATATACTCGACATTGGTTAGGTATTACCGATAGATGGGCAGAAAAAAGAGATACATAGGTCGCAGGCAAATAGTCAAATCAGGCATTTTATCAAATGCCTAGGCAGATAGTCAAATTTTCAGAATTTACGAGGTTTTTTATGTTTGTAACCACAAAGTCCTCTCGAATTTCCAAAATTTGGAGAGTAAACATCCATAAAAGCACAGACTATCATTGCATTTCCTGTTCAAAAATTCAACTCATCTTTCTTCGACTGTCCAAATTGTAAAAACTATTTATTTTATAAAATGCCGCATATTTTGTGACGAATGTGTAGTTGAGGACTGGTTAAAAATTTATTTACCATTGTATGAAGCAAATTTTTACAGATAATTTTTTCCCACATGACCAGAGAATGATTTTGTCTATAGTTAGCAAAATTTTCATTCTTCCAGAAAATTGCGAAGGCCTAGAACAATTTGCACGCCTAAATGTATAAAGGTGCAATGAAAATGCTTCTTTTGCCTTAAATTACTTGAAAAGTTATGAAATACTTGATCAAGTAATTACACTGATCAGTCTTGATTTGAGCAATAAAATACCAATGGAATATGAGAGAGACCAAGGAAAAAATTATTATAAACTTGGAATTTTGTGCCTGCTTTATTGAAATTTTTGGCTGAAAATTTTCCAGACCTTACGAGAATAAAGTTTGGCTTCAAGATCTTGAGTAGTGTTCATGTAGATGACACACAAACACAAACTTGATGAATCCTTGTTGCAAACAAGTGCAATGCCACCCCACAAAATATAAGTACTTAGATCAAAAGCTTTACAAAAAAGTTGTTCCATTCTTATGGACCATGTCAGAATCCAGAAAACTCCAGGAGAGTTAGTCCACAATAATTTTCACTTAACTGCCCCATCATACGGAAATTGGCAAAGAATTAGCCTGATAAGAGAATTCACAATGATCTCTCACACTTTCTTGCCAAATTTCTATTAAAAAAATTTCTGCTAGAAATTTCTATTAATTTCTTGTCTTCTTAAGCAAATAAGATCAATTTCTCCTTTTTCAATTATCTAATGAGTAAATAGAACAAGTGCTCGCTGGTAAAGATTTAGAAACACTTACTTGGCCTAGATACACACGGCCATTAATCGCCGCAAGTGAAAGATGAAAGCCAATGGAGAGCCATGATTTCAATCCATTGACGTCGATATATCGAAATCAAGGCTCTCTATTGGCTTTCGTCTTCCACTTGCGGCGATTGATCGCCGTGTGTATCTAGGCCTTTAGTGAGACACATGACTAGGATGACCAAAGTGGTCCAGAAGGTACTTCTCACCTTGGTAATGGTAACAGGGTAGTCAGGTTCCACTAACTTGTAACAGGTTTCACGATTGGAGACAATTTTCCGAAACTCACATAACCTGAAAGCAAATTTAACAAAATGTATTATTTCATAGAAAGGGTCTCGCATTCAGTATAATTAATAAACAAGAGACTTGACAACAAAGAGTCCGAAGCTATCCTAGCAACTTGCTATGTCGGTAGTCACATAAAAAAATATGAACCAACACTGGTAAAACCTCTGCAAGCTTGAGATAATTCCGAGTCAGACCGCCATAAGTATTCAACTTTATGAATGAAAATCGTTCTGCTTCCTGAGATTTCTTTTCAGTGCAATTAACAATTAGTTACATATCAATGGTTTAATCTTAACTTATCAATGGTGCCATCTGTGATACAAAAGTAGGCAGGGATTGACTTCTATGGTCAACCCACAATATAGAAGCTCTTATCTTTGATGTTGAAGATTGTGTTATTCAATTGACCAGATTATACCTATATGCACAATATGTTCATCACTGAAGACTCCTTCGGCAATAATGAAGCTGCAAATTTAAGCAGACATAAGTAGGATTCCTCACATGCTATGGAACCATCTGAGGCATTGGTAGATACTTAATCCGCCACTCTGACCCTTGGGTTGGCTCGTCACAAGACGCAAGTCAAACTTTCTTAACATCAACACTTCTTAGTGATGCTGCCTGAATGCGAGTATGAACGTATCACCAGAACTCATCATTACATTGTCAAAATCACATTTTCAGCTGATAAAGTCCCTGCTTCTTTTTTTCAACGGAGGATTGAATGCATAATGAAATGCTCTTACACAAGTTGCTACTAATTACTTCACAACAATAGAATTTCTAGTCAAATAAAACGGACATTGAAAACCCAAGTTTGGGAACTCCAATACATACGGTTACAGGAGGAACGCCTCCCGTTCAACAGTTCATCGAAGTTAGTCACCATCCACTCTCAAGGTTAATGGAGAGAGACGTTTCCTTCAGGTATATGAAATAATAAGGAGAACAAAGAGTATGATTTACCTTTTAAGAGACTCTGGTTTGCCCCATCCTTCCACGAAGTACTTTGATAAAAGGACAGACCTATAGATTTGATCTAATCGACTAAGAGGCATGACGTGGTTTTAAGAAATGTGCCAAACATTACAAGATGATGGTGATGGTCTGAGGAGCAACATAAAATTTCTTCAAGTTAGCTTACATTAAAAATTTTCACTAAAAAAAAACCCGAGAGTAACATTGTAGTACGTTAACTAAAAGATGAAATCGAATGAGCATTGCAAGGAAGGACTGAAAGTGATAAGGACAAGTAGTATGTTGTTTACTTCACATTTTGATAAAAACAACCACTAAGGTCACTCCTGCGCATGAACATTTGCGCATGACGTCATAATAGGACGGCACGACTTGAATAAGAAGCGCGCGAAATATGATTGATCGTTTTCTCAGACATGAGAAATCTTTTGAAAGTGAGAATCTTTCTTCTTCAAACTCGTTTTTCCACGGAAAAATCATTCGTCCGTTGATGACAATAATATTGCGCTCGATTTATGTGATCAAGAATTTTCCTGGATTTTTCGCGGTGAAAAATGATTCAATGTTTCGAGGATGTAAAGTATCTCCATGGATATGAGCATCGAAACCGTATGTACCTACCTACTACACGCAATCGTTTTTCCGCGGAAAAACTATTCGTTCATCGTAGTCTGTGATTTTGCGATAGATCGAGAGAATTGCAAATTCAGAGATTTTCCGTATAGCGAATTGTCATTATTTTATTTTCCCCTCGTTTAAGGGATGCCTGTCCACATATATCGGTAGCCATACCGAATGGACGAGCAATTTCCTATTGGTGGTTACTGGTGGTTACTCATCCCTCTGAAAATATTCTTTCCGCGTTGTAGGAACGAGTAGCAAAGGTCGACATCGGCAATGGTCGATTCGTGGCGAACGGTCAGAGGTCGATTCGCGAACGGTCATACGTCGATGCCCGAACGCACCGAACCAATCGAACCTAGTTCACCATTGTGCATTTTATTGTTCTCCCAGTGATCAACTGGAGAGAACTTTCCTTTCACCCTGGGCCGTTTAATCAATGTAAAATCTCGAAAAATCTCGATCGCTAGTGAGATTTTCCTCTGTTCTCTTGTAAAAAATCGCTTGAAAGAGCGATTTTTTGTATGTGTGAGTGCGCTCCCATAAGATCTGATGTAACCGCTTATCGTATTAGTGTGTATTTTACAGGGGTTTTTCGAGACTACCGATAGTCGCTGTTCGATACATCGATACGTCGATTCAATTCTAAACCTACCAACCCTTTCCTACAAAATACCCTGTTCCTTCTGAGTTTCCTTAACTTTGCCTTCTTTAACTCCGTTTCTAAATAAACTGTATTAATTATCTGAAGTTCTTTATATCTTAAAGCTTCAATTTCCAATATGAATTTCCTAACTTTTTCACCATTTTCCTTATAAAACAAAATCAATTTACGTATGTACTTTTTACCCTTGTGTTTAGCGCTTGTTTCATTTGTGCGTCAGCTTTGATACAATGGCGGATTGTTTACGTTCATTTTATAGTTGAGCATTTTCCAATTTTTTCCTTTAAATCTCTTCGAAAAAGTCCCAAAATGACTTAGCACTCTTTAAATAAGTAATTCACCCCTTCAACTTAACATTGATGGTACTTTGGATGGTTCCACCTTTTGCAGTGAGAGAAACTGAATTGCCGAGTTTCTGAGCTGGCTATGGCTGGCTCCTTGGTTTGTCCGTGTCCTTCGGTTTGATTTGTGATTTGTGCAACTTCCTTAATGGATAATCTTACTTATCAAAATACTTTTTGACTGTGCGTGGAGTGTAATTTTGTCGTGAGTCTTGACAGCATTAGCACCATGTGAATCAAAATTTCAATCAACTCCATTTTTGCCGCAGGGTAGGGATCCTTTAGCTATCCTACCGCTATCAGAGTGCTGTCGAGAAATTAATCACAACTGTCGGTATGTTCTGTTGAGCAGTTATGTAAATATAAAACGGTTGTATTTGTTAGTCAATTTCTTTTGTATGTGAACAATAACTGAATGTCCAGAATTCCTAACATCTGACTGTATCTCAAGTATGTCGGAAATATTTATCAAGGTCAGAGTTTGTGAATCCTTGGCAGCAGTTAATGAATTTCCCCTAAGTAACAACTTCGCTCAACAAAGTTTGGTAAGTAAGTACAGCTCAGATCCACCATCGTACACATATAATTACATATTAGTTTAAAATCAGTGCGAGTAATGTTTTGAGGGTAAAGTGTTCTCTATTCTCCAACATTTATTAGCAGGGGTGCGAATTGCGCGGAGGCTGAGAGGTACTTGTTATTTTTCTAGATTTTTCAGATTTGCAATTTTTGTGGAATACTTACTGTGACTTTGGCACACATTCTAAAATTAACAAGAAATTCCACAAAAGTTTGATCAGCGCGTTGTGCTGACCTTCTTGCGAGAACCTAGCCCGAAGCTGAAAATTGCAGAGGCATGAAACAATGTTCACTTTGGTTTGTGAGATTTTCTTATAAACTTGGCATCCTCATATTTGTCCGACTTTTACCAAAATAATCTTGAAATTATCTCTCCCATCACCACATAGCAACAAAATTAGCATAAACATTCTTGATAAGAGGTGGCATAGTATCCAGAGACCCCTGAGAGTTTTGTATTAAATACTAATGATGCTCCTCTGGCAGAATTAAAAATTGACCATTCTAAACTACATACTCATATCAACAGCTCTTGCTGACAACAACCTGCTACCTTCATCAACTTAATCTAAAGTTTAGAATAATAGATAAGCCGCCAACTAATGTACTATCATTTCCATGCAAACAGTCAACCTTGTATTTATTGAGGAATGATAAATACACTTTTTACTATGCCTTAGAGTTCTTACCATAATTCTTACCATTTGGAGTCAGGAAATAAAAATAATTGCTTCATTGTTTGCATTTTTATTGGCCAACTAAGTTCACAGTGGAACTTTCGTCTACTTGGTGTTAATGAAGGTAAATATTTATTCTTCTCTTATTTGGATGAGAATTACCTAGGTACATCAGATAGGTATGACACTGGGACACTAGGTGGGACACTGGGTGCCGCTACTAGGTACTCTACTTATATTTCAACGATACTGGAAAAATTCATAACTCAGGTAAGGGCGTTATCTTGCAAGCTACAGAGCTAGTAATTAGTCATATTTCGATCCTTTGAGATTCTTTCATCATTCAGAAATAAAAAACTAAATTCAGCTGGAACAGGCACATTTCTAGGAAGGAATGTGACGGATCATTTATATCTAATTTATATCTCATCGTCATCTCACTTATCAAACAATGCTTCTCGTCCTCATCTTGTTCTAATCTTGTTGAGAGCAGGCGAAGATTTGAAATGCGCGCTACAGATTCGGTAGTCGCCTGGCAAAAGTGGTACCCGCTTGACGTCACAAAACTTCAAGATGGCAACAAAAATCAAACTGGGACAATAATCAAAGAAAAGGACTGTGGTGGTTACAAAGGAATACCTAAATGATCATTCATTTTTTCGAACCCTTATAATTTAAAAAAATTAATTTGAAGTGAAGTACGTATTTGGAGACTTTACACTTTACTGGGAGAACATCCAATGCCCAGCATGAGCATTGGAAACGTCATTCGTGAACTCAAAATGACCGACTTGTTTTACTTTTCATTTTATCGTTTGTTGCAAATGGAGCATTATGTATAGGCTGCTTGTAGTGCTTGTCTTTGCCGTGGACGACACTAAAGACCTCTAAGTTAAAGTAGCTCTCTTAGCAGAACGAGAGCCATAATGGATCAGGAAATTCCATCAATGGTTGTAAATTAAACTAAATTTATGCTTTGTTTCTGACCCTTAAAGTAGATACCTAAGTAAACAGGTCTCGATTTATAATTTGACCTCGACTGATGAGCAATAAAAGCCTAGCGTCACCATTAATGTCTTCCTTTTCTTCATCAGAGAAAGGCTATGTCCTATGTCCAATAATAGACTTAATTATGAACTTTGGAGAAATGTTCTCCTCTTAATTTTGCACCATGATTTGAAGAGAAAGGTCTTCAGGATTTTTCCATTCTGATACTTGAAGGGAATTTAAGTTTTTTTAATATCTTTTCTAATAAGACCCAGCTGGGGCGCTAAGTGGCTTTTTTTATTTATTTTTATCTTTTAATGTGATTAGACATACACATCAATGGTGAACCTAGAAAAATTTCCATTGTGCAAGGAATATGGATTGATAGCATCTCAGAATCGGTGCATTACATGCAATTTTTCTTCATGTACTGATCCGTTATGCTTCAAAATAGTAAAAAATTTAAGAACATCTGAAATGATGCAACTGCAGAAAGGATTGTGGTTAAGTGATGTCACCTTCATTATGCATCCCCTTAAAATGGAAGGATTTATAAAATGAACTTCAAATTTCTTCAATGAAAGTGAAAAACTCTTATGAAGTTGCGTGTAAAAATCAATGTCTCATTTCTGTGTTTTCAGAAACAAGTCGCGGTGAAAATGCCTAATTTTTTTTTTAATTTCATGGAAAATAAACTTGATTTTTCTCGTCTTTGAAAGTATCATGTCCTACCGCGATGTGCAAAAAGAATGCTCGATAGGTACCTATGTCATAACTTTTTCCATGTTTGAATTAAAATGTTCCGATTAGGACTAGTGTGAGAAGTTCCAGTTGTACTTCTTTGAGGCTGGGCCTCAGGCGGCTCTTTCACTTTTGCAGTCAAGTATACTTAGTGTTTCATCCTCTTATCTTTTTGTGTTCGCGTTTTCAGCACCCTGTCTCTCTTTAGTAGGGAGCCGAGGCACCCTTCTATGACTCAGTCTTGTCACGTTACAGTATGAGGAACTGCGCAAAAGCAGATTGAAGCAAAGGAAACTGTGTCGGTAGTAAATTCTAGGTATCCTACATGAATGTATTTATTTCCAAGTAACTCCTGTGGGTAACAAAACGTTGGCTTCCACATCAAGAATAAAGTTGTCAAAGTAGAGGCTTGAAAGCAACTTACAATGAGGTAGATGTAAAGACCTGTGATATTAAAGCGTATTAAAGGTGATAAGGAACTTTACCATCGAAGAAATCTTCAGTCATGGCGACTATGACCATGGAGCAGAGACGTTTCCCTCGCTGTATAAGAAAATCTGCCATTAAAGTTTTTCAAGAACAAGAAAAGCTACAGTTTCATCTGCATTTTTCATCAACTTGGTTCTCAAGAAACCTTCAATGATCAGACGCAATGATATGCTCCTTTGGCGTGGTAGCGAGTGGAGATAA